GTTGGGAGCAAAGAAGTCATTCCACCATTCCGATCGTCGCTTGGGAAGCTGGACAAAGAGCAACGACTCACTCGGGTGAAATTGTGAATAAAGACGAGCTCCTTGTCTCGCTGGCGTACTCCATCGTCCATTCACGAAGAACTTGCGAGGGCTCCGTCACGAAATTGTTAAGCTCAATCTATGGCAAGCTATTGGTTCCGACATTTACCCGCTATCATCGGATCAAATGCTCAGAGAGCTCAAATAAGTTTATCGGAGACCACTAGCTCCGCTCCGTAAGCTGTTGTCAATCAGCTGAGTGTCCCTACGGGACAATCGAGCGAGCGAATCGTCTCCCTCGCGCAGTCTCTGAGGGTTTCTCGATCCCGAACGACGCGCAAGAGATTCCCGTCTCCCTGCTGAGAGCAAACAATGCCGGACCATCACAACTGTCCTGAGGCTACGTGAGGAGGTCGCTGATAGAAAAGCAATGGCGAGTTGAAGATTGAGGTCTCGATCGGACCGGGGCTCTCTAAGTCTGTGATTCCGAGCCTGCGGTGAGACCACGACCTGCCGTGTGTCCAGTCACTCGGTTTTCATGTGACCGGAGCTCATCCTCCTGAAGTTATAATTCCCCTCCCTGCTACGACAGCCGTGCCGGCGGTCGCGGAAGTCCGCGTGGTCGAAAACCTCCCCCCCCCCCCCCCGACTTTCGGAGTCGAACCTGAGGACTCACATCTGAATCGGGGACCCCATTCACAAACGAGAATGATTCGTAGTTGTCGGGGATTGCAACCGGTTACCCCTGACGATGAGAATGTAATCATCGAGCTCGAGGCGTCGTGACGTTCGAGCCTCACTTATTAGCGTGTGGAGTTTCCTAATAGGACGCATGGTGTAACCGTCCGATGACGAAGTGTAACAAGTTTCGGTCAATAATATTATATTTCGACTGAGCTAAGAGATGTGTTCGATACAAGCATTCATCGCTTGAGGGATTCACGCGGCGACCTCATGCCTACGACTCACTTTTCAGTGATCGAATGAGTATTGCGTAAGGCACTGATTAAGTACCTAGCTGTGTGTGTGTGACCACAGTTCAGGGCCCCGTGGGCGTTTTCGATTTTCCTTGGTGAGGATCTCACCCCTAGTTATATAATAATTCAGTAAGGATTAGGTAAGAATTCAATGACAGAAATAAGAATGGTGTATCTTGATCTCCGTGAGAGCCTAGGCCATGTAGCAGAAGAAGCGGGATCATCGCGGATTTCGCCTGCTCCAAGCACCAGACCCTCTTCGTATGGAAGTCTCCGTTGGAAGTCGTGGTAGTGATCCTCCGCTGCAGCGCCGGCGCCGTCTCATGCAAGAGGCCATGAGAGGTAGTCCGCGGGGAGGGAGCGACGTTCGAGAAGTCGGCGGAGTTCACGGAATTCTCGTTTCACGACTAGCAGTCAGGGTAGCCGCATCGGCTAATCTCTCGACTTCCTTTGGTGGCTCCGACCGGAAATGCTTAGAATGGCCACAGGGAATGCGCGGGGGTCGCGTGCGTCCCACGAGCCGCGCATTGTACATCCCTGACTCAGCCTTTGTCCTATTGAATAGGTAGTAGCTTCCCACGTTACGTCTTGCAGCCCTGGAGAATTCTACTTCCACTCCGGTCGGATTCGCTCCTTGCCAGACGCGCAGCGTGCCAGTGATCGTCAACAGTGGATGACAACACGACGCGTCGCGAGATGCCTATGTCACGGAAAGCAGAATATGGACCTGCGGAAGACTCGTTCGGAATTCTCACGCATTTCGAGCTTCAGTGGGTCCGGGAAAAGCGGGCGTGCCCTCCGGTGGACCGTTCCGAGCGGATTTCCGCCCATACGGAGCAACGAAAGGCTCACATTCTTACCTGCGCGATGCAGAGCCGCTGGGGCGTCTCAACGATGCACACACATACGTAGGTCTCATATGTCATAATGCTCCGTAAGAATATTAGAGAAGTCCGACAAATCGGACTCAAACCGGTCCGAGGAGGTCTTCTCCGGAGATCGAGAACTGTTCGGGGGAACATTTTCTCAACGTTGTCGATAGAGAATCACGACTCGGACCTAACATGCACGAAGTGTAAGCGCATTGAGAAAAATTTTCGGAGAATCAATCAGAGTCACGGAAGGATCCACGAAAACTTCACTTTGTGAATGTGAAAGATCAGAAGAGACGGCATCAGGACGGCAGAGGACTCTCCTCCCAGCGGAGCTGAAGGGAGTGCAAATGGTTCAACGTTCCTCAGGAGAGGTTTTTCGTTCTTCGTGCGCATAACATGTGGAGTATCAAGTATCAGCTCAACGCGTGCCGTGAGCAGCAGTGCTCGGAGAGAAGATTCCCCCATCAGAATCTCTGTCTGTGATGCGGGTCAGAGACAATCCATGGTGCGGCTCCAAACTCAAATCATACTCTTGAGGTCCACTACCTACGTCTCGACTTTCGTGCACGGAAACTACGTGTCTCTAACAATCATGAAAATCGCTTTCGGTGATTTTCGAACGTGGAAGAAAATCTACATTCTCCAATGTACGGCTAAGGATTTATAGAGTCGATAGTTCCCTCATTGTACGGTAGATATTTTTGCGGAGCAATCTCGGGAACTCGGAGTTGTCGTCATTTTTGATTTAGCGACCTTGGTTACCGTGTGCGGATGGTGCAGTGGGTGGTCATGAGTCATGACGAGGCTTACAGTCAGACGACCGAAACTTCCTCGCAGTTAACCTCTAAGACCGCGCAGACAGTTTTAGAGGCACGTGGGGCTTCATGTGATGAGCCTCGCCGTTCTAAGTTCTCTCGCGCCCTCCCGTATTCGACACAGTCGGAATCAGACGTCACTTCCGGTATAATAGAGCTCCATGCGACTAAATTCCCGTATCTGTTTCCAGTTCGTGACGGCAGTCACTGTTCAGACCGGAGCCGCTTCGTATGGACTCTTCGACAGAGAACGCTTTGGATACCGAGGACGATCAGCCTCTCATACTCAGCAACAATTCAATAGTAAAACGCCGTCGAATTCATTGTGAGTATCGCTCTTTCGAGCCGCGCATCCGATATATGCACCCGCGTAGATTAATGCATCCCGTAGTTCGGAGTAGTTTCGGGTCTCGCGTGAGGAGAGGAGCAGGTAAACCTTGTGAACGGCTAGACTCGCTCAGTGAGCCGACGCCGACACTGGGAACGCAGCAACGTTCGTCTCCATCATCGGATTCATACATCTAGTTCGACACGTTGTAGCAATGAAGTTGTTTCCCCGCAAGCAGACTGCTCAGGAACCTGAGAATGTCTTGCCTCGTGAGATCTGATCGGATGCCGGCTGAGGACGTTCCGTTCCGCAGCCAATCACCAGCCATAGCAGAACCCGTAAAACGTTCGCTGGCGAAAACTCCTGCCAAAGGCCCCAATCATAGCATATATACAAGAGAAATACGATTCCGTCGCCGTTCCTCTCTCGGCCCTCATGGACATTCACATGGCCGTCGTCGAACCTCTAGCAATTCCCTGAAGGATTTCACCCGCTAGGTCTCTTGTCAAAGGATCGGAGCAACTGGTGACTCGTTGTCACAGACGTCGACGTACTCCATGAACGAGCAAATGTATAGAGCCATGAGCCGTTGCGCCCATGCTCCAAGGTCTTCGATATCCGACGGAGGAGACGTTTCCGACACAAGGACGATTCGCTGAGATTTATTCCTGTTTGAACTTCGAATGATTCAAAGACTTCAGCATGAAATCGAAGCCTGCTTTGAAACGCAACGCCCAATGGTCCGAGTCTTCCTCTTTGTGGCGTTCCGTCAGCTAAACTTAGCCGGAGCTGTTTTTGAGTCTGTTCGGCTTGTTCCGGGGATCGGTCCCGCAGACAAGCCTGTCTACGTAAAGATGTTGTGCCATGACTCACAATTCTTCCGCGAGTCGTTTCGTTTTCTATTCCTGGATATCCGGTCGCGTCAGTCCAGTCTCTATCGATTACCACGCGTGCACGTCGGAGCACGCCCATTCAGTCAGAGTGGCATCGGTGAGAGCGCGAGCAGAAGCGGCACGATTGTAGTATTGGAGTAATCAGCAAATTTTCCCACCAGTCACGTCCACAAGGAGGCGGACAAGTTCGTTAAAAGGATGTACTATTTGACAAGGTCCGGATGTTCGATTTTTTGACGTCGAAGACACCGGTTGCGTGGTCTACCTAATTCCATCAATTCGCTCCAACGATAAAGGGCGAAGCCAGCAGCGGCGCTCAAGGTGAATCCAAAACGCGGTACGCAGCTCCTCGAACACTTTCGGGTCGCGATTCGTCCAGACCCAGATATTCGTCTCGGAGGCGACGCATAGAAGCTTCGCTGGTATGCTGGCTCCGGTAAACCTCTAAGAGACCGTTCAGCGTAAATCGGTCGTCCTTGTCCGACCCTCGGAGGAGTCTGGGTCCGCGTCAAGCTCCATTCGAATCCTCCGCATCGCGATATCCAACAGCAGAAGTTATCTTCTACCTCCTACCGAATACCCTGCGTGACAAGCTCGACTGCGACGAGTGCGAGCGAATACGTCTGACATTTTGGCTCATGCTCGGGCCGCGACTGTCGGAGCTGGCTCCAGTCCTCTACGGACCATTCAAGCACTTTTTCCACACAGACGACGACAACGTTACGCGACAAATTCATTTTACATGCTCCAGCTTCCGTCTCGGCGTCGCGTCTGCCCCGACCGCAAGTTCTGTCGATCAGCTATTTCCGTTCCGATTCTGCGGATGAGGGCTACAGTCCCGATTCGATCACGTATTTTACTCTCAAGACGCGGTGTATGGAATTTCCGGGGACCCGTTGCCGGAAGACGGGCAAAGGTGATACGCTCTGTCCATATTGAAAATAATGAGCTTGTAAACGACGATGAATAGATCGAGCCGTGGGAATACAGGATGATGCCAACACATGATCTGAGCAAGCAGGTGGCGTGCCATTCACTTTTTCCGACCTCTGCGTCGCAACCTATTCTCGGGCATGACCCGGTGGGTTGTCGGCGGATAGTTCACGCGACAGATAGCCGAGGGGCCGGGGCGCGTCGCACAACACATGCAGATCAGTGACGTCCTTGAGTGACGTCGTCTCGCGCGGAAAGTCTCGAATCCGGCGTCTGACTTATGTTCAACTTCGCTTTCAGATACAGCAGAAACTCGATATGGGGATCCTACGAGCAGGAATCGGGAGACCCGACGGAGTTATCACAAGAAGTTCTTGAAATTCCCGAAAACAAGGATTGTTGTCCTTCTGTCACGGAGCTGATCCATCCGCTGGCGGGTGTTTCCCGGAACGGAATGATTCTGGAAATTTATCGAGGCGAGAACAAGACTCAGAAGTTCTATCAGACCTCGTGTCGCCGAGAGGTCAAAGATCGACCTTGCAGGTACCCACGACGTTCGCTTAAAAGCCTCGTAACTTGGATATTCGCCTGAGCTCTCCGAATTCTCCGAAGAGGTCATGCGCCACTCTTCCAAATCGAACCCTGTTCGAAGTGGGTACCTTCGAGATGGGCAGCTGCCCAATGCTACTCGTGCTCATTATCGGGGCATTTCTCGTTTCAGATTTGTTCGCTTGAAGTACGAATCGGCGTCTCGTTGCGAACAAGAGTATAGTTACACCTACGCCATCGTGCGTGATGTGAACACGGAGAGCCAGTGGCGAATGGATCACATTCGCGTCCGGTCGGGTTGCAAGTGTAAGGTCCTGAAGGTGACGCGAGCCCGGATCGGGGAAGCCCGCAAGAAACGAAAATGAATATTTGGCGTCGTTGCTCCTGCAAGCTTCATCGAGCGTTCTAGGACATCCCGATCGCTTGGGAAGGAATCGAAGATGGCTTTTTCGCTCTCTTTCTCTCTGCCGTTTCTCAATTAATCACGGGGAAACGCGCTGTACAATTCCTCTGAATCCAGTATATGCGAATCGAAGTCCTCTCACTGTTAGCCGAACAACTCCTCCGTCGTCCTCGATCTAGCTGAGTCGAGCGCAGAATGAGAGCCCCTGATGCTGCCAATGTCCACTGTTCCCCCAATAATGCAGCAACAAGGATCGGGGAGCTTAATTTTCGACGTAGACCACAGTGCGAAGGGCTCGTCGATCGGATCATCGAATGCAAGGCATCTCTGCTGACTTATCGCAAAACCTGTAATGTCGTGACCAGATTGATCAACTTAGTGTTATACCAACGAGGATACCAATCGTGATACACTTATGACGGTACTGATTACAGATTCAATACATATCGTAATTAACTCCAGACATGTTTGCGGCCTCGAGGAGGAAATTCCGACGGGAGCGAGGTACCCTATCGAAGCTCCCGGGGCTTCCTCGACAAATTGTACATTTCATCAAGCGAGAAACAGGCCGCAGAATACTGCTGAGAAACTACGAGAAGAGCGGAGCCATGTACAAAACATCACACAAAAATAGTAATCTCTCGTGCCAACACCTGTCAGGTGCTGAGTAAAACTCCTCTCCCCTAGATAAATGAAGCATACAAACAGTTCATCAAGTCGAACGTCGCCCTCCCATACACCCACTCACTCACTCACGTATTCTACAATCAAGCGTCCGAGGGTTCACAAGTTTTGTTGATCTGACTTGTTGTGTATACGTAGCTGCGCAATCCCTAAAGCCGGAATGTGTCTATAGTGTTTAGCGACCAGTTTACGACCTCATATGAACTATCTGCAAATAAGAGCTGTTGGACATAGAACCCTCCCGGAGCAGCTAGACTAGTGTGGTTTGTTCGGAATGCAGATGCTCCCACAATTCGAGTGTCTGTCCGCAAAGATCCAGATGTGCGAGTCTGCGCAATAATAATTCTATTCATCTGTCGTGTTGGAGACGCTTCGGAATGACTCACTCTAGATCCGCGGGATGGGACTCCACACACGCTTGCCCGATCCCGCCACTGACCGATAAGTTGATCTTGTAAGGCGCGGAGCTCTCCGATCGAGCGAATTTCTCGTTATCGGAGCTCGAGAGTCGATGCGGCCCGTGTTGAAGTCCAGTAGGCGGCTGTTCCGGAATCTGAAGTGTAACACTTCAAGAGAACATACTGCAATCACAGAGAGGTGAGAACAAAAACCAAATCGCCGCAAGTGATGGAGGAATATATCGGTCTACTCCGAACTCGGAATGAGACGGGTTGAAAGCGAAGATATTTCGAGATTTTGGGTGAGATCTCTCGTGTTGGAATGTGAGATTATAAAGTCTAATGCAAACACATCGCGGACGTGACTTCCCGGAATTCCAGATCGGGCGGAGAACCCACGCGGCCGCAAATATTTTAGACGAGACAGTTATGAATAAATTTCATGATTATTTTTGCTCTCCAAAGGGAAGACTTGCTTCTATTTCTCCGGGGGGGAAGGGGAAGTAGACATCGGGGCAGAAACCCACGTGGTGATGAATGGAGTCGGTGAGGTTTCGGCGTAAGGTCCCAAGGAGCGGTCCGCGTCGAATGATCCTTCCGCTGGCTGCATCCGTCGGAGTTACGACCAACAGCTCCACCGGTGGCCGAGGAATTCGATCTGACACCGATGCGATGTGACGTGACCCATTCTGAGGAAGTTCGTACGATACGCTCTCACCTCGGTCACGATACTGATTCAGATCTAGATTATTCTCCCCAGAGTATCTAAAATTAGACGACCTCGCCCCGTGGATTCCTCCTCCCGGGATCATTGAATTCATTTGATGAGCATCTTACCGAGGAGCCTCCAGCAGGGCGTTTATCGCCTTCTTCGAGGAAAAGGAGGCGGGGCAAGGATTCAAACTGATGACGCGCGTCCTCGACGTCGATGCTTCAGCCTTCCGACCGGTATCGGCTTCCTACTTGCGAGTTCAGAGTCCTCGCAGCCGGTCCGGGGCGAGAGTGAGGAGAGGATGAACAGAGATGGCGATCTCCATTCGCAGAGCGCACAAGAGCTCATGACTTGATGATCATGATTCGATTATTTCGAATTCGAAGATTTCAGCGCCCCTATCTGTAAGCCGTGTGACGCGTCTCGAGCGTCGAGAGCACGGATAGAGGGCCGAGGGCTCGGATGCGTCTCTATTCCGAATCCCACAGACTTCGCGTTCTTCATGAAAGAGATGAATCCCTTATGGACAAATGATAGTATTCAATCTGATCTTAGATATCATCCCCCATGCATAGGCGTGAGAACACGGATCTCGCACGTATCTCATTCTCGGCACGCTCATGAACATCTTGAAGGAAAATACCGCTATAGAAGTTTCGACTCGCACACAGACCGTCGAAATCTCCTTGAACGGCAAATAAAGCAAGGACAGCAAAGAGCAAGGCACGGAATCGCGATTCGATGTTTGTTCATAAGCCATATTTGTTCGGTCGATGCCCTCCGTCCATTATTCCAGCGCAGAGCTGAAGTCTGGCTACGAGGAACTCCTGTCAGAAGAGCCCGGGGACTTCCCGAGCTCCCGAGTTCTGTTGTAGGTGTCCTGCTGAGTCTCCTAGGGATGCGGACTTGCTCCTCCGGGCGTGACCTCGACACCGACGACGGCATTTCGGATACGGATGTATTCGCTCGTGCTCTTCGTTTTAGGTCAATTCCTTGCAATCAGCATCACTCTCGTTGTTCCTTGCTTGAATTTCAGATAAGAGGATCAGCTCCGGGCTTGACCCTCATTCGACCTATCCTGTGATTCCTTCGTCAGACGGAGGCTTCCATTCCCTTATCCATGGCGTCGGAATATTCGCCAGCAGACAGAGAGCAGACGATCCGAAGGAGAGAATTCGTCCTGCAGTCATCTTCTCGACCTCTCGACTTGGATTGCCGGCCCTCCGGGTGGCTTCCCCCGAAACGGCGACGGCGGTGTTTGAACTGCAGGTTCCGACACAGAGCACGCTGACTCGCGTGGTGCACGGATATTTCGGACTGTCATGGAGGAGAGAAGATCCTGGCAAGCTTCACGCGACACTTTCTCTAATGCTCCATGATAAGTGCACCGTAAGTTCCATACATCCGTCAGCGCAAGGCTATACGATATTCTGGGGTCTGCAGCGGAATCGTTCTCGGGTTTCACCAGCTAAACATTCGCTTTATAGACGGTCTTATGATCTGTCACATTCGGAAAAGGCACTTCAGAACAGGAATAGATCTATGATCCAGACGAGGCTAGACGAGTGGGGTTTGCGAACCGAGCGGACGGAATTTCGGTCGGGAAGCTCATGGCTTTTTCGCCTATAGAACGATATCCGATACAGAGATCTATGTATACGCAACGGACTCGATACTCTTCCTCAAAGAAAAACAAATGAGATGTCGTCCTTCGGAGCGGAGCGACTAGACGGACACTAGGATCCATTTCCTCACACCCACGTCTCCTACGCGGACGGGAAAGTTGACAGCATTCATCGGCCTATTCGCTACTTACCGTGTGTGTTCATCCCTCCATGATGCTCTCGCCATTGAATGAGTACAATCTCAGGCTCACATGGCACTTTCCCCAACTTGCCGGGGAGTTGTCGATTCTCGAATCGGAGAGAAAATCTTCTGATCTTTTCTCCATATCATGCTCCAGTATGTCCCTTCTCACCTGACTAAACAACGTGAGGAATGTATCGCAGGTGTCTCGGGCACCGCAGATGCCTCACGGGTCGTGACCTTCAATGGCGTTTCGACGCTGAAAGGATCGCGACGTGCCTTTGAAAATCCTGCTTGAACATCGGTCGGCCTCTCATTCTTGCCGGCCTCAATGTCTTCAATGTCATTTGCGCGTGATCGATTTGAGAGCGAATTGGATCTGAGAGCACGGGCATCTTCGGTGCCCAGTTCGCCCCAGCGAAGATGATTCGAGCGAAAACGATTTGCGTAATGTTGAGCAGAGCATACAGCGAGCGACGGCATGGGATGCCCATTTCTACTACGGAATCTAAGAGCACTCCGGAAGTTTTCTCTGGGTCTTCCCATGAGTATCATTCGTGATGATTCCGGAACTGAATCATTGGTGAATAGCAGTTCCTCGATCGGGACGGTTTTCGACCCCCGATGGTTGAATTCCTCCCCCAACAGTCTTCTCTAAGTTCGACTCCCGTCCCATGGAGTCTCTCCCCCAGACCTAGCATCCTGATATGTCTTGTTCAGAACCAATGGATCGGGAGGGAAGATGGATCGCTCAGATTTCTCAATTCATTTGAAACAAGTCCACAAAACTCTGGCGATCCAGTTTGAGATCCAGCATCGGCTCCGCCTAGGGAATGCGATCATATCCGTGAATGTTCCGAGCGCTTCGACGCGGATCGATATTCGGAGTCTTGGAACTTACTGCTCCATCGCGGATCCTCCCACCCCCTGTATATATGAGGGGAGACTATGGGTCCGACACGAGCTGCGATGTTCACACATGTCTTCCCTCCAACGTGTGATCCGAAACTCTTCAAATCCAACACTATCCGCTCTCTCCCTTCAGGTAGAGAGCCTTAGTTTTCTTTAGTGGGTATTATGTGCATGAGCCCCGCTCCAGTTGAATTTTCCACTCTTCTGGGTAGTGCGTCAATGCATTTCCCCCTATGGCTCTTTTACCTTTACCTCCTACCTTCCCCTCAGAACCGCTCCCCCTTTCGCACTCGCAATTCCTTTTGAGAACTATAGGGTCACCCCTTGGCGAGCTGCTCCACCAAAAAATATGTATATATATACAATATTTTGATGATTTCGGCCCTGGAAAACCCAGAGATTGGTCGAAGGAACCGTCCTTCCTCCCTTCCCCAATCCTCCATGGTTGAGATGACGCACGAGGGTTCTGTACTTGGGAGACACCGATCAACACTTGCATGCTGCGGATATCGCTCCGCAGAGAGAGAAAGGGCCGGTATGAAAGTTTCGAATTGTATACACGCTGTCGAATTTTTATTGAATGACTTAGATCATGAATATCTTAGAATGGAAATATCGTATGGTGGATTCACGATTGGAATTCGGTATTTGTTCGTATGCTGTATCCTCATCAGTACGGCTGATGCCCCGACGTTTACCAAATCAGCGGGGAACTAGAGTCTTGCTTTGACAGATTTCTTCTAAAGTCGACATTCCGATTTCCATCTTCCCTATCTGAATACCTCTGCGGAATCTATCTCACGTTGGCGCGCCTCCTCAAAATACGAGACTCTTCCGGTGGAGAGCTTCATTAATGTGACTCACATATCCGTACCAGGAATTGCATTTTGCTCACGGAGATGCTTCATGACTACCAATATCGGCGTTTTTCGCGCAATCAAGGTCGCTCTCCCTCGTTCCTTGCTCGGATTCAGCGTGAAGGGCAGTGGCAGAGTGGCGCCCGGAGCGGATCTCAGGGATGGCATTCCTTCTCGAGAACTCCGTGCCACGGGCGGAATCCTTCTTGAAACTTGCGTTTTTTCGCTCGTCGCCGACGGAGATGACGCCCCTCCACGAGTGTTTCAGCCCCGAATTTCGTCTATCATTAGGAGTTTCCATGGAGTCCCCTTTTTTGTGGTGCCATCACTCAGAATGGCACCCCCCACACTGATGGGAGAAAAGACGCCCGGGCGGTCAATCCCTCCACCCCCTGCTCCTAAAATACGCCTTTGGTCGGAGGATCGCTCTGGGGATAGCTCGATCAATTTTCGAATTATCAGCCGGTTCCGGATATAAAGCAGGTTCGCACCAAGAAGGATATTTTCACGGGGACTAGGATGTCTTTCGCTAGACGATATTGGCATTTCTACTTGAGGTACGTTCTCCCGAAGTTACCATAGGAACTCAAGCTTAGAAATACTGACCCACGGCAGGATCAGACACCATTACAGCTAGCACTTCGTCTAAGGAGTACGTTCTACCGACGCATTTACGCACTAATACTTGAATTCAAACCCGTGGGAGTTAAGTTCCGGAGAATGATTATGACCGAGTCTGAGAAGATTCCTCGGAAGTCGACAAACGAAAAAAGAGAGCTCAGTCCGGAGAGAATACGGGACACCCTACAGAGACGCGCACTCATTCGCACAGTCACACTTCCAGGATGGCTCCCTAGAACCGTTTCCGGTCACTCTGGAGAGGAAAGAAGGCCCTTGTCTATCCTAATCGAATCCTTCTGACTGATTTGTACACTGAGCTGATGTGTGACTGGATCCGGCAACTTGCTTTACAGATGCAGTTCATCGTCTGACCAAGACTTTTTTTTCCTATCCAAGGAGTCGGAATATTCTTCAAATGAGAGCAGGTGATCCGACGAGGGAGTGTCATCGTGCAGCGACCTCCCTCGACGTCTCCACCTGGATTCTTGGTCCTTCGAGTGGCTTGCCACCGGCACGGCGCTGCTCGAGCTGCTGATTTCGACGCAGAGCACGATGAATCGCATGTTGCACGGATATTTCTGCTGGTCGAGTAAACGGTTGTGGAGGAGAGAAGATCCCAAACCTGTCTTTCGCGACGCTGCGGAGTTCCACGCGTCGCAATAATGTTCCATGTTACGTGCGCCGTTCCGGTCGGCGCCGTGCCATACGATCTTCTGAGGCCTGCAACGGAATCGCTCTCAGATTTCATCCGACTGAACATTCGGCTTCAAGGCGCTTCGTTGTTCTCTCCTGTCCGAATCGGACTTCCACTTCAGAACAGAACGGACCGGCGCGGTGGCTCGACACGCGTGGCCCGACTACCGGACGGCGGGTATGTCGATCGGGAGCCTATAGCATAGCCTCTTAGGCAGCAGGACGATATCTGATACCGGAATCCCCGCAGATCCAGCTCGCCGCTCCATCTCCACGATAAACAAATTAAATGGGCTGCGAGCGGGAAGGCTATTGTTTCCGTTTTTCACACGCCGCGCCGCCGATAGCTTAGGAGGAGAGTGGGAGGCGAATACTGAACAGACGTCGGAGTGGGAAGCATTCATTGGTCCATTCCACGAGCTACTTACCACGTGTGTTCATTCATTACGTTCTTGCCATCGAACGAGTAGATTCTCGGGCTTATGGGGAAGTGTCCCAAGCTTCCCGAGAAGATTTCGCGCCACGAATTGAAGAGCAACTCGCCCTTGAGATTCACCACCGGTGCTGAGGCGTCTCGCGCTCGCACCAGACTTTCCACGTTCTGGATCCTGGACGCAAGGAAAGCCCTGAAAGTTCCGTTGAGGCCGGCGTTGCGGCTCTCACGATAGCATTCGTAGTCAGCTGAACGCACACCGTGCATGTCGCCACTGTAGGGCTGATTCAAGGCCGCCATCCGAATCTGAAATGAGTATTGTGGTATGCATCTCACTCCCTGTCTCCGAAGTTCATCGGGGAATGGCCTCGTAATCTATCCCGACTTCAAGCGCTCTCTTGCTCCTGCTGCTACCCATAGGATATATGGTTTACCTTCCTCCTCTTCTTGAAGCATGAATTAAATAGGAAATATGTTTAGACAAGCATACGTGGATATTTCTTAGCTTCACGGATTTCGATTGAGTCTAGCTGATCGGTAGCAAACTTACGGTTGGCACATTCTTGAGGTCATCAGAAGTGAATTGAGGTTTCGGTTGTTCAGTCGTCGTTGTTGTCGTCGTTACGGTGGGGAGGATTATAGGCCCCAACTGGAAGAGCGATACTCGTGAGTCGAATGTTTTTGAGCTTAACCACACTGCCCAGGTTCCACTCGTAAGTCCGAGGAAATTATGAAGGAAACTCTCGGTTCATAGTCCACGCGGAGGCCGGAATACGTACGCCGACATATTGCCATCCTTGGGGCACTCGAACCATGAGATTCTCATCATCCGTCACATATGCGATCGCTCCAGGAGACGTGAAATCGGTCGTTTCATGTAGAGATTTCTGGTCCTTAACAACCAGAGCACCAGGCACCACCTGTACCAAATGCACCAAGTGCGATGATTAAGATCTCATTCGAGCTCATCGAAAGCGGAGGAGATGTGATGAACGTGATATCTGAACCCGAAGGGAGCCCAGAAACGTACCTGAGAAGATTTGGGATTGCAGACACACTCTCCCGGTGGACCAGGAGGACCCGGTGGTCCTTTGAAATGAGACACTGCAAGCGAATGAGACATTAGATGTCATTCGTTTCTCCGAAAAATCACGGGATGGACAATCTGAAATCGATTTGATTCTTGTAAATGGGAAGATCTCTCTCTCAACTTACACATCGAGCCCGGTGCGCGGAGCATTGCACTTACGGGAGCTACAAAGTGAAAAAACGTTTGTCACGCGTCCTCGAATAGCTCTCAGATCATAGGCGGAAGAAAATTCATATTGAGCTCCGTATTCTCGGATCTCATCGAGGAAAAAAGTACCATTAGGATTGAAGTCAGGGTTCCATGATGAAGGTCCAGGTGGTCCAGGGGGTCCCGGAGGTCCTTGCGGACCTCGAAGGCCGACGCCTTGGGGACCTTGAATACCGACGCCAGGTTCGCCCTTTTCTCCTTTGATTGTTGCGACATCAAAGGAGCTCCCGTCGGAGAATGTGACGGGTCCTGGAGGTCCTGGTGAGCCCCTATCGCCTCGATCTCCCTTCGGTCCGAGCGGTCCGATCTCTCCTTGAGGTCCTTGGGGACCCGGCTCTCCACGTTCTCCGCGGATGACCTCGCCATCCTGAGCACGTCCCAAGATAACGATCAAGATCAAAGTGAGTGCTCAAAATCTCAGTTTCCTAACTTGTCTAGACAGTCATTCGACAAATGCTTTCGAAAAAAACCTTATTCACACGCGATCGTACCGCACTGGTGACAAGACCGGGAGGTCCGGGTTCTCCTCGTTCGCCTTTGAGGCCTTCACCAGGCGGTCCTGGGGGACCCGCGGGGCCTGGGGGCCCGCCTGCAGGTCCCGGTGGACCTCGATAACCTCTCTTGCCTCGACGACCCTCATCGCCTTTGTCCCCTTTCTGAAAACCGGAATGATATAGATCTACCCTTCTAACATTGAGACCTATCGACTATCGACCCCAACCTGATCGCCGAGGAATAACTCACCATCACGTGGATTGCCACATTGTCTCCGAGCATTGTCACAGGTCCTGGTTCCCCTTTGGGTCCCTGCGGACCAGCCGGACCAGGTTCGCCTGGCTCACCTCGTGGGCCCGTTCTACCGTCGATCCCTTGAGGGCCTGGAGGTCCCATCTCTCCGCGATCACCTAGAAAAGGGAATCGATCTCCGAAATCTTCGATTTCTTCCGGAGGAGGAGAGTGTAATTTCTGCTACGAGCCCTCGGAACCACCCAATAATGATTTCTCGAGCCCAACTAGTTCTGGATCCTCCGAGAGATAAGAACCTTTCGTAGCCTCAAGAATTAGGCCGTTGTCATAGTCATCGTGAGAGACAACACTGCGTCCCGGCGGCCCGGGGGGACCCGGGAGTCCGACACCTGGTTCACCTCGTTCACCACGCTCGCCCTTGTCCCCGGTGAATCCCGGGGTTCCCGGTCGTCCGTCAGCTCCGTTCATTCCTGGTTCTCCCTTTGCTCCTTGCCTGCCCGTAATTCCCTAGGGGAGGAAATAGTGAGAATTTCCGCTTCGATACCCAGGTGCACTCCATAGTCAGCGACAGCGTTGGCAAGCTCCTCACCATTGGTCCCCGTAGACCACGGGATCCTTTCGAGCCCGTATCACCCTTAGCACCTTTCTCCCCCGGAGGTCCTCTTGAACCTTTCGCTCCGGCGGGTCCCTGGGGCCCAATGGGCCCCGCGGGTCCAGGTGCGCCCATGTAAGTGCCGTAAGTTCCGTCACCGAGCCCAGTATCAAACTGCAAATTTTGGAATTTTATCCCGTATCCGGAGTCTCTCATCCGATGAGTGCGTCACTCCTGCGGAAGGATTGCTCATTCATAAACATGAGAGTTTCCCCGTCATCATCTTTAATCTCACATCGAAATATCTCCCGTGGGAGGGTCCCGGAGGGCCGGGAGGCCCTGGCGGTCCTTGGGGTCCTTGCATTCCAGGAACGCCATCGGAGCCACCGTCGCCTTTTTCGCCTTGAGGACCCATGGGTCCGGTCGGTCCCTGCGGGCCTTGGGGGCCCTCGGGACCCGGCAAACCCATTTCGCCGCGGGCTCCTTCAGGTCCGGGGAGACCCTAACGAGTTGACTCCAGATTAGTTTGCTGATTGTTCGTGATAATTGACGGATGGGATGCACGATAAATAGAGCAGCCTATCTTTCCGGTAATCTTTCATTTGATTCCCTGATCCTAGCCGCGACACTTACGGGATGTCCCGGAGATCCATCCATACCATCTCTGCCGTTCAATCCTCGAGGTCCCCTCAGACTTTCGATGTCATAAACAGGATTACAACTACAATTTCCTGGCGGCCCCCGTAGCTTCTCCCGGATACCCTGAAACATAATTTCCTCAACTCCCCCTCATCCGACGCCAACTTCTGAGGTAATTGAAAGCATAGAGTTCTGACGGAGCTCGGAGAGCCCGATACCTCATATATAAGAGCCCGCGCCTCGTTTTCTAGAAGGGCGACATACCAGTCTATCCTTGGTTATCCAATCGGCCAGAATTTCAGGATTGCACACGGTTTCCTGAAGCGTGATGGGTACACGACTAATTGATCAGATCGATTGTTCCCACGATTTCCGGATCAACCGCAGGGATTTGGTTTCGGCCAGCTCACCTTTGCCACGTGGTGTTCGATTGTGCTGCTTGCCACACCTTCGGCTTCGAGCATTTTTTCAACCTCTTCATCTCTACGAGAAACTTCGTCATCCGCTTCCCTGGTCGCTTCGACGCGACTTCCACCGATTTCTTCATTCGATTTAGTTGTGTCCCCATTTTTGACCGCCTCGCTGCCCTGACCACTTCCCAGGTCCGCTCGTACCTCGACGTCGTCAGGCAGAGCGGTCTCGGATTCTTTCGCTGTGTCGAGTCGATTTTCCGAGTCGAGCTCTTCGCCGTTTCCTGGAAATACCGAGCTCTTAGAGCGATATTCTTCTGTCCCTGGAGTGACTGTTAGTGTGATGATCGCTCCGGTGATTCCTCACAGCGGGTGAGTTTGTGCTCCGAAACGCTCTCGACTTCCTCTCGATCTACCCAAGCAGATGTCTCAAGGCCGTGCCGCTCGAAGTTGACGACGATGAGTGTTTTAGAGTGCATTCGAGTGAGGTTCGAGATTAGTGGTGATTGGTGATTAAGTCGACGCTGTGCCAATCGACCCATACCGCTGTAGTCGCCTCGAATGTCTTCGTCGATGTGCAGGACCGCGAAACTGTCCAATACGTGTTCCTGGATATCCACACCGGCAAGGAGTTCGCTCGCGTTTCCGAGAGGCGTTTCGGTGACGTCTGTTGGGACTGCTTTGTCATCCACCACAAAGGTCGTAGGTTGCTCGCTCGTCGAGGAGAACACGGTCGTCGACAGAAGCGTGTGATAATCTCCGACATCGGTATCGTTTTGGCTGACCAATGAGATTTCGGCGTCTAGCATGTCAGAAGCTGCAGTGTTCGAAGTTTGAACTGACCGAGAATCTCCGACTCTCTGGCCTACATGTTTGGGAACTTGGGAGATTCCGAGCTCGATCACTGCGTTCTCACGCGAAGAGAGCCGCAGCAATCGTCGAAGGTAATTGCTATCAGATTCGATCGGTTCGGCGTCGGGTGAATTTCGGCAAGAAAAGTCAAAAGTTGCATACCGTTCTCGAGACCGTTCGCAGTTGCTGATTCTCCGTCGATTTTCCCGAAGGATTCATCTTTCGAAGCTACTGAAGCAATGACCGGACTCGATTCGGCCACTTGATTATTATTGTTGCTGTTATTATCGTCGAATAAGCCTGTGTTCTCTAGATCAGCTGCACCTGCGCCCTGGTGGCGGTGATGATGTTGATGATGGCGATGATGGCGTTCATGGTGATGCTCAGGTTTCTCCTGGGTGGTTGAAACGATCTTATACAATAACGCATGAGCAGCCGTGGATCGCGGACCGCTGAGTCGTCGAGAAAGCCCACTGACCTTTTGTTCCTGATGGAGGAGCTCCTGATGCTTCACGGCGCCTTCAATTGAAAATTTCGGATATCGGAATCATTGTAAGCTTGGGGAGCTCCTATTGACGACGGGAATGCCCACGGAGGCCGGGTGTCCCAGATTGAACGAAATGTCTTCGGAATAGAACTCACCGAAAATTTTGAATAAGCTTTTATCATGCTTCTTGAGAGGAACTAAAATGAAATCAAAGTAATGGGAATGAGATGGTCTCAGTAAGAAGCGCTCCTATCGATCGATCAAATTAATGATGGGCAAACGGCGGCGTACTCGAGCTGATACAACTTCGGGGGGAAGAGGGGGGGCTATCCCTTCAGCAACAAAAAGAACACAGCAGAAAAGGGGTATCCAGCAGGCGTCCCCGCGCATGAGTGCAGGACAGGTATCATACGAAAGACTCACCATAGTTCTCCAGATCATCTCCACTGCCATCAGTGAGTTGAGAGTCGTCGATCACGGAACCGGATTCGCTCCGCTGAAGTGGAATAGGAGAAAATCGAATTTGACGGAAACTTGAGGGCTATTCCAACTTTCCGGGGACGTTTTGCTCCAGGGCGATAAATCGATGAACAATTAGTGATAATAGTCCGCGAATATGATCCTCTTCCGGACATGCGGCATTCTTCGATCGCGCATCGCATGTCGAATGTCGAGAGGTAACAGTCGTCAAGCCCCAGCCGGACATTGGGGATTGTCATGTCATGCCATATGAAATTCTTCGCAAGCGGAGCCACGGCTGAGTCATCTAGAGCAACGCCGACGCTCTGCCGCGACTAATGCTGCTAAAGGCGCCTCCTTCTTGGCGACTACGTTTACGCAGGCCGCATTCTCGGTCTATAGCAAAGAGGTCTCTAGCCACCTGGCGGCATGTTCGCCTGAGACCGTGGTTGTCATTGGTGGATTTCTCCATATCCCAGTGCTTAAACCGCTCCCTGGTGATCGGGTTGATATCGCCATTCGTCGCGCGCTTCGGTGAACATTCGAACTATCTCCTGGTGACCCGTGATTGTTCGAGAGACTGATGCTCTCATTCGGTGGCACCTTTCGGTGACGGAATCGGGATAGACTTGTTCTTGACACAGTGATTTCGTCCCAGTGATTATTACCGTCGTAAAAGGAGCGATTCATGATCCCAGCGAGAAATAGAATTCTGAGAGCAAAGCACGAGAAGTTCTGTTCTTGAACAAGTCGGTAGACTCGTTCAGGGAGCTCCGTCGCGCCGTGGACATAAATTCATGTCCCTCATGTTCAAAGTATTCGAGAATTATCCCCGAGAATGACGTCTTCGAAATGGAGTTTAATTTTGAAAACTGCCCTTGCTCTGGTTCTCGTCGGAGGCCTCGCGTGCCTCATAACTTTCGTCGTTCTGAAATATCGGCCGCAGCCCAAGGACCCGAGGCCAAATATTATCGTCGTCCTCGCCGACGATTTGGTGAGTAGCTTTGATGTGATGTTATACGAGTTCTTCTGGCTTAACTCGAATTTAGAATCCCGTTTATGCAACTGGCACTCGAAGTCATGGAGTAAGAAACGTAAAAGTCAGCCGTAATCGATTTTCAACGATATGCCCGTTTTCCACCGAATTCCACCAATTATTGCGAATCTCGATTCCAGGGCTACGATGATGTTTCATTCCATGGGAACGAGCAGATCCCTACGCCGAATTTGGATGCTATGGCGGCAGATGGCGTAATCCTCAATCGGCATTACGCAGCCATGTCTGGCACGCCGTCTCGCGGCGCATTTTTCACGGGGAAACTGCCATTGCGAATCGGTATTTGAGGGGTTGATTTATCTGAGACAATGAGACGATACAAATGAACATTGCGAACCCGGCTCTTGAGCGGTATCTGTCGAGGATTAGGCTTGACTATTTTTCGTTCAGGTTTGAATGAAGGGCCCATCCTCAAGGGAGTATACGGGACCGGCCTGTCCCTCGAGCATGAAGTCCTTCCGTTCTATATGCGAGACCTCGGATATGAAACGCACCTGATTGGGAGAGTATGTTCCGGTGACCACCAGATATGAATGTCGGCGATTTCACTGGTCGAAAAAAGGATTGAAGGAAGACAGAATTTCAAACTATTCATAAATCTCCAGTGGGGCCTCGGATTTTACAAAGAGAGCTTGCTACCGACCAACCGAGGTTTCGATACGCATTATGGACCGTACTCAGATTCAGCGAGCTACAGCAGCCACTTGTCCCGCGAGGTTTGGAAATCCCATCTCCATCAAATGCCCCTACCTGATAAAAGCGACGATCTCATGTAGAGAATTTTATTCTTGTAAAGAGCTTCCGAAGTTCTCATGATTGCCAATACCTGACTTGGGCCGTTCTTACTGTCATCCAGGATGCATGGAAATCTCTGAGCGTGCCGCCTGCCTACGATCTGCATCGAGATGGGAAGCCCGATTTCTCTGGTTTCGGGAGCTACGTCACGGATTTGTATAAGGGGCGCTTCGAGAGAATCATCGAGCAGCGGCGAAAACCGCTTTTCATTGTACTTTCTCACCAGACCCCACACGGTGCATCTTTCGGGCCGCTCCATCAACCTCCGCCCCGAACAAATCGAGCCTCACAGTTCTTGCATATCAAAGACAGGAGTCGGAGATCGTACGCTCGTAAGTCGTCGAGGCTCCGAAAACCACAGCCCCTACGCTCGACCTCATGCTGGCGCGAATTGCAAGTCCTTCGACAGCGCTTCTTCTTTGCTTCTTCTTCACAAGAGAGCGCTCCTTCACAGGCACGGTGGAGTCATTGGATGACTCCTTCGCGCATATGGTGGACGTGTTGCAGAGGAACAACATCCTGAATGAATCGGTAATCTTGTTCAGCTCAGACAACGGCGGAACAACCTTCAAAGACCCATATTTCAAGACTGGAGCCTCCAATTGGCCTTTGCGAGGTCAGAAGAACACTCAGTGGGAGGGAGGCGTCCGCGTTTCGAGTTTCGTATGGAGCAGCCAGATTACCGAACCGTACGTCAGCGAGGAACTTTACCACTTCGTGGACTGGCTGCCGACATTTCGCAGATTAGGGGGTGAGCTCTGGTCCCACAAATATCCCGATAGGATATTTGTCCGTTAAATTTTATGAAGAGCTTCTCGAGTCGCATCTAAGTGAGATGAATGCCGAAACTTTCAATATTTCCAGGAGGGGACATCGGCGATCTGAAAGACATCGATGGTTTCGACATCTGGGATTCCATAGTCAACAGAACGACTGCGTCGCCAAGGACGAAGATACTCCTCGCATACGATAGGGACTTCACAGTAGACAGTCCTGGCTTCGCCGCAATCATCGGAAAGTTCAAATACGTGTCCGGGAAATGGAGTGGAAGGGACCAGACAAATCATTATGTTCCGGCATCCTTCAAGTACAGCGAAGACTCTCAAGTTCTTGAACGTTTGAGGAATGATTCAAAAGTGTGGAAAAATCTCAGGGACATCGGACGACCCGGACCAGCAGCGGATTGGAGGGAGCAAGCTCGGATCAAGTGCTCCTGGGGTGCGCATTTGACTTGCAACGGCGTCAGCTGCGACAAGATCATGGAGACTTTCAGAGGATCTAGAGGGAATGTCGAAATCAGAGTCGAACCGGTGAATGTCTCACATGCTTGTGACTTTGCGCATGAGCCCTGCCTCTTCGACCTCGAGAACGATCCCTGCGAGACGACCAACATCGCCAATGACATGCCGCAGATTCGGGACGACATCGGGTCTCACATAATTAACGACTTCGATCCTGTAGAAAGCACTGCCAGGTTAAGGTATGACGCGTGCTTTGATCAAAACTCGAATCCAGCGAATCGCGACCCGCCCGTGTGGGAACCGTGGCTTAGCGGATGTGATAATCTCCTCGGTGAAGCATGCACAAAGCAGTTCGCAGAAGCCCCTCCTGATGCCGAAGGCTGTCCGCCGGGAGGACACTATCTCTGAAGATTCGCGACCTTTTCGGAAATATATGGATTCTGGAGATATATGAAAACCACACGGGATTATTGGCTTTCCGTTGTTATGCCCTCGCATTGTATATAAATGGCAAGTTGAGCGAGGATAAGTTTTTTCACTCTCTCCAAGTGCGTATATTGAGACATGTTTTCATTGTCGACCTGGTTTCATGAGTTCTGCGGACTGTGAGCGAGACGTCGAGATGGCGGCGGCGGCCGGAGTCAAAACTGACCAAACGGCCGTGAATCCCGAAGCTCAATGGTACAAGAAGCCTTCAGTTAGGAAAATCATCACGGTTCTAGCTATCTTCGGCGTGATCATAATCGCCATAAGTCTTCTCACTGTCTTCCTGTGGAAGAGGCAACGAGCTCCAGATATCATACTCTTCATCGTGGATGATATGGTGAGTGGGCTTCGCGCTTTACATTCGGCTCGGGACGATCTGGACAATTCTCCGCCGACTCTTTGGGCCATCTCGACGATTTTTTTTGTGGACGATCGAGGAGCTCAAGAGGTCAATTCCAAGAAATCACTGAACCTAGCGTATCTCTGTAACACTGATCGAAGTCCGCCGCTGACGATTTGTTCGGAGCGAAACCACAAATCACCGATTAGGATACAGCTTTGGCCCTCGTCACCGCATAGAACTTGCGGGAACTTTAGCGTCGCTCACTCAAGACTTTGATGATCTTGATGATATCTCCCACTTCTCGACGGTGTGTTTTGATCGGTGACCGAACAGAATACTCTCAAACGTCTCCATCACGCGGCAGATTAGCCAATACTCGACTTTAGTGGGTTGGTGAACGATATCTGCAATGCTGCCCTTCAGACAGTCTTTTCGGGTGTATTCCCTCCCCAAGGGATCTCTCGATCGCTACGCTCCAGCCGCGACCCTCCTTCCTCTCGCTCGTTTCGTGAAAGTGAAAAGGAACTACAAGCCCGGGATTGCCGCAAGGAAATAAGTTGTCATAGCGTTGTCCTTCCAACCCGCTTGATCGCAGAACAGGTGTCGGCGGGCTGTAGGAATCTGTCGGGAGAGGGCAACAACATGACGAGAGAGTGCGGAAGCTAGTGGGCTAATGCTGGGTCCATGGGATATCCGAACGCCGTAATGAACTGCGTGCTGTTCTTTTCTGGTATGGTCTCTTGTGACAACTGCAGCGATGCGGAGACGTCTCATTGTTTGGCGCGAGCGTTTACGTATCTACTGAAACAATAATGATCCACTCCTCTCGGAAACGATATCTATCTGCTGTCTGGTAGCTTGGAGCTTCAATCTGCGGCTGCGGTGCTCGTTAGGCATGAGCCGATAATTTCCTCTGGAGAAAGACGGTCAGGCACAATCAGATATGAATTCGCTAGCAATGACGGGTACGATGTTGCCGAGGGAGTGAGAGCTTTCCGACTCCTCACAGCATACGAACGATCGAAATGCGTTACTCCGAGGTGTTATTTTCTCAGCTTTCTCTCTTGGAGGATGAATTCGGCATTTTCTCCATACGTGCGTTTTCTCGCTTTTTCGGCTGATCCCCTGCTGAATAGTGGGGAATCTTCATTTGCAGGGCTGGTCGGACGTATCGTTCCACGCCAATGGACAGATACCAACGCCTAATATCGATGCCATGTGCTCTGACGCCGTTCTCTTGAACTCTCATTACGTTCAAGCTTCGTGTACTCCTTCAAGAGGAGCTTTACTGACGGGAAAATACCCCATAAAAATAGGTTCGTGAGCGATCTACGACAGAATTGAACTCCGCGCGGAATCATGCGAACGGGTCGTTTGCCGCCAGCGAAGCTCAAACACGCTTCCAGGTTATGCGGAACGGGTATACGCATCCTGCTTTCAATAGCTCGACAGGACGCCACCGATTTCCGTTCTATGCGAGCCGAGATTCCTCAACGCTTCACATGTTTGATGGAAACTCGATGTTCGAGGTATACGGATAAATTACACCTCGACAGGGCTCCAAGAATACGTAATTCAGCCGGGCAGGCAAGAGGCTCTGCATCTGAAGCACAGACTTCTCCCACAGTATCTTCGGGATCTCGGATACGCAACGCATCTTGTCGGGAAGGTACGCGCGACAATTTTCAGCTTGATATCTTCCGTGGAGCTTGTGATTTCGTCGCCCCGACCGAGGGGCTGAGTGTTTTCATAAATTTCATTCATCCGTTTAGTGGCACCTGGGATTCTATGCAGAAGATTACCTCCCGGAAAACAGGGGATTCGACTCTTTCTATGGATTCTACAATGGCGCAGGCACATATTACAATCACTCCGCCTCAGATGTAAATTCACTCATAAGGAAATTCAATGTATGGGTCTGTACAATCGACATGCGAAGCCATGAGCTCAGGAGATATATTCCTCACCCTGCAGGCCGACGGCAGAATAGGCTACGACTGGCATTTGAACAAGGAGAGTGATCCGGATGCCCATGGGAAGTACGCTACGGACATCATCACTCAACGCGTCAAGCATCTCATACAATCCCGAGATCCAGAGAAGCCGATGTTTTTGATGATCTCACACATGGCTCCCCACGGCGGGGATAACGAGGACGAACTTTTTGAAGTTGATCGGCAATGGATTGAGGATCCAGAAATCGCTCACATCATGGTCGAGAGTCGGACAAAATACGCCGGTGAGGCTTTCCCTGCATTTATCAAGTCCTCACGGACGGGCCATCTCCACCACGAAGATCGGGAAATAGCCCCACCTATTATTTCCAGGCATGATACGAGCACTGGACGATGCTTTCGGGCAAACGGTCGTTGCTCTGAAGGAGGCGGAAATGCTCCAAAACTCGGTTATCCTCTTCACTTCGGACAACGGGGGACCGAGTATCGTCGATGAATCCTACAAAACCGGAGCTTCGAATTGGCCCTTACGCGGACAGAAATTCTCTATGTGGGAAGGCGGAGTTCGTGTGAGCAGCTTTCTGTGGAGTCCACTGCTGAAGTCACAGCGGTACATCAATAAGCATCTTTATCACATCACTGATTGGCTCCCGACATTCTACAAGCTCGCTGGTTCGTGAAGTCCAGCCGGATATTCGATTCCGGAATGATTCTTCCGGATCAGGTTCCACTGAAGTTCGATTTCCTCCCTTCAGGTGGTGAGCTGCGGGACTTGCCGATAGATATCGACGGTCACGATATTTGGGATTCAATCGATCGGAACACGGATTCGCCACGGAAAAACCTGTTGATCAATTACGATACCGGGGGAACGGAGAATTTCGCTGTGCGCCGTGGGAATTTCAAGCTGATGCATGGCAAGCCCCCGCCAGAAGTTGACCCCTGGTACGATTCCTGGTACGCCACAGCTGGTGGCACGATGGATGATTTTATGACTTTGCAAAAAGCAATGAAAAAATCTGTGACTTATGACATCCTCAGTAGAAGACCGGACTTCGAAGAGCGCCGAGACGATTGGCGAGAAGCAGGAAAAGTGAAGTGTAAAATTAATAGAGGTATGGCTGACAGTCCCCGAGGGTTGGATTACCGAACGTACACGGTAGACGACATGCTCAAAGCTTCTGTGATCAAAAATGACGAAATTTGCACGAACTCCAATGAGCAGCCGTGCCTCTTCGATCTGCTGGAGGATCCCTGCGAACTGAGGCAATATTCTGGCGCGGATAGAGAACAAATAATCAGGGAGCTCTCTGAGATAGCCGAACAATATCTGCGACTAAAAGAGGCCGCAGTTGCGCCTTGGTCTTCTCGGATGGAGCATACCGATGCAGACGCAGACCCGCAGAAGTTCAACGGTACTTGGATGCCCTACATCACTCAAGGGAGCAGGAGTCTCAGATCGGAGGAGCACTGCCAGGACATCCACAACCCGAAGCCACAATGTTGATATTCATTTGATATCCGGATCGTAGAGTCACCTCGTATTTTCAACAAAGCGAGAGATGAATTCTTCTCCACGATCACGATCATTTTCTATACTCCTACCTCTGTCGGATATGTCTATTTCTGCCATCCGTCACCTAATTCTTGGCAGGCTCTCGATTTGTGTCGATACCCAATGTCTTCAGGACTTCGGGCTGCTGTTCGCGCGAAATCGGACACGACCCTATGAGCCGATAAACTCTCCGAAGACCCCGCCTCGCCTATGTTTCGCGAAACCTAGTCAATTCGCGGGGGCCAAGGAGTCCGTGACAGATGGCAACCCGCAGAGTCAGAAACTCCTCTTTTGCTGGGGATAACGATCATCCTAGGCAATAATTGCAGATGACTACATGGACGGGGCTCTGATCGCGAGGGGCGCTTCGAGACACGTCGCTCGATCGAACGCGATCAGGTTGCAAGTCCGGGACATTATCGACGGGCATGCTCTCCCGAGAACGCGGACTTGCACAATTTCCATTGGGATATTCCGCGCGGTATTCCAGATAAACCACGCGGGGTCCTCCACACAGAACAGACCCTCGTTTTCTCATCCACAACCTCGAAGATATGTATGCCCATTATAGCCATAGACCTTTCGGACTATTCGAGGGATGCAACGACGACTTTCGGCGTCGTCGTTTGCAATGATAATCCTGACTCGAAGGTTATGGTGAATTTTGATCGTTCTCTCATCGTTCTCAACTCACCTCATTCTCATGGATGTCGCCGTTCCCGAGGACCTTGAAAAAGAGGAACAAGAAAGTTAGTTAGTTGATCCCGGGACTCCTCAATCAGTACCAAAAATCTCCATCCGCTGCAGGGTGCCTCGAATCTAACCCTAGCTGGCTTGCCGTGATTGCGATATGTCTCAGACACGAGGCGCAGGCCCCGCCACAAAAATGCTCAAGTTGAAAGCGGAGATCATTTGCGCCGTTCTCATTCATTTTCTCGCTCCGATTCCTTCGCTCTGGCCCAGAGGATTATCAGCAATTGATTCTCTTTCCCGCGACTGCTCTCCCTCCTGATCGAAAATCAGACTCTTCACCCTTGAGTCACCCCAAGAGTCAGCTGATCCGCACAAGGTGTTGCCACCACCCACCTCAGCAGCAGAAATCTCGAGCTGGTGGTGGTGGAGTTGGACCCAGTCGAAAGCATCTTTCGTTTGTGATCGATGGCCGAGAGAAAAAAAACTCAGTGGCAGCAGTGCGCCGGAGATCCGTTTTATCACTCACTATGTAGAACTACTGAGAGCCCCAATCGAGAGGGAAGCGGTCTCGCGTGGGGCGAGTTTCGTCTCGCTCGCGTCGTCACGAATCGCGAATTCGATGCTATCGGTGAGCAAACTTCGGAATTCCCGTGAAATTGGCTTTGGGTACGGAAATAAATCGGATCTCGCGGCGTTGTCGAGCTCACTCCTCGAGAGTGATTGCGACTCCGATGGTGATTGAATGATAATCCCACGTAGGAGCCTCGTCCCGCCTGCGCACCTGTTAGTCTCTCGCTTACGGGAACGAATCCAAATAAAAACGCCGGGATCGGGTTCTTCTTTTCATTGCGTCGTGCCTCTTCTGCTGTACTCTTGAACCCGCCGCCAATTGACCAACGGAGTGTTTGGCGTGCTTGGGTGCGAAACAGTAACTGTTACGACCCAATCATTGCAAATGGGTCTGCCAGCTGCCTCTCACTCGCTCTGCGGGTCGGGCGGGTGGGCGAGCTTGCGAGCGCTCGCTCGGCTGGTCGACCGTCTACCGAAACAGTCGGTCGACTTCTGGACTGTGTTGGCTCTCGCGAGAAGGGCTACAGAGAGTAGAGTACGGCGAGAGATGGAAACGACACACGAGGTGAACTCTCTTTCCCAGCTCGCCCCCGACAGCGGCTACTACACATTTATATGCCGTATAACACCGACGGCAACGAGCGTACAAGCAAGCGAGCGAGCGAGCAAAGAAGCAGACAGACAAAGGAACGTAACCAGCCGCACGCTGTCCACCAAACGAAATACAACCGACTAACACCTTGCGTTTGGCCCTCGGGAAGTTTCATTTCATTGCTGACGACGACATGGAGAATACTTCGCAGCTCCCTCTGCCATCTAGGACGATTTCTGTTCCTGGTTCATTCGCCGACGTACTTCCTGGTCCTTCGTTACATCTAGGGATATTTAATTCCCCTCCACGGAGTCCGACTACCGTCAGCCGACGGGACTGATTCCGCTGCTGGCGTGGGACTTCCGCGTTTCCGGAGGCCGGCGACCTCTAAACTCCGTAGCTCCGATCGCAGAAGCGTTTGGGGATTCCCTGCTCTGGAGTTGTCGTGGATTCCTCGAATTTCCACTCACGTGTTACCGGGCGAGTCGGGAACTATCCACTCAGACTTGATCCGTGAAGTTTTGCCGAAGTCCGCAGTAGTATTACTTATTATCGCCAGTCATGCCTCCTGAGGCAGTAGAACGGCATTCCACTCAATTCGGGCATTCTGCTATCGACACCGACAGGAGATTGGCTGTCAACGCACTCAGAGATCGCTTTCTCAATAGAGGAGGAAAGACGGCGAAGGCAGAACAGCGACGGGTGCGGACGACGACGACAACGAAGAAGAAGCCGAAAACAACATGCTGCTAGTCAAGAGCCCCGATCCTGGCAAAATCTGTTCTGCGAAATGCAGCCGTCGACGGAGACGCGATATTGACAATTCCGAAGCATCCATGCGTTACCCCGTTTGCTCGACCACGAACAGGCTCCGATGGAACAAGAGAAGGGGGCGGGGTTCCCTCCATCAAAACTCCGACGAGTCTCCTAGAGAGATCTTCCGAAATTCTCGAACGAACTCGGATTCGCGATTTTTTCGACCATCCCATTCTGGGTAAAGTTTTCTTCTGCTAAGAGAAAGTATCGTAAGCGAGAGCCCGGAGTGATTATTCAAGCTCAGCAGGAGACGAATCAACAATATCCCGGAGCGTAGTGGAGGATCCTCTTTTCCCGATACCGTACGCTCCTCTTCGAATTCACCAGGCGAATACGAAGCGCGAAGATACCATCCCTCCTGCAACTTTGCAAAAACCCACTCCATCACAAGCCAGACGTTATCGGTTCACTGTGGGTAGCGTTCAATTGAGCTAAATGGCGTCCGACTTCCCCGAGCCTTCATTGTTATGTTAAGATGATCCTCCTCCGACAGCGACAGGCACTATCGGCAGATTATCTGGTGCCGAGATAAATCCACTAGACAGACTCTGTCTGACATGCCGTCTTCCCTTTCTTCGAACTCGGTCTTTCCGAAACTCAGGAAACAGGTCAGTTTCCCCGTAGAAAAACTCTTTCAATCACTGCGTGTCACAAGCCAGTTTGAGCGACCGGTTTCTCTGCACCGTCTTGAAGTCTAGAGTTTCCTCTCTCATTCGATTCCACGATCCTCCGGTCGAAATTCATGCTCTTCCGATGAGAAACTCCGAGGATCCTCTCCTTGAGTTCGACTGATTCGAGCGTTGGAGGACCGACTCACGGGGCACACAATTGAAATTTGGTTTCCCTTTCTCCATCGAATCTGTCTCCTCCGACCAGTAGGCGAGTCTCGATGAAGGATCGTCTCTGGCCGAGAAGAGACCACCCGCTGCCATGGGAAAAGAAAAGGGAGACTTATCTAAAAGATAAATAATAAAAGTATTCCATCATGGGAGCTGACTCCATCCGGCGATCCCATCGAACGAATTGCGGAAAGAAACGCTACGGTAGGGAGGTCCTGACAAAATAAGGTTACTACTTGACGGACTGAAAAGAGCCGATCTCGTCCGGGTGGAAATGAACACTGAGTAACCAGTCGTAAACACCGGGTCCGCGTGAGTGGGAGAAAATACCTGACAGACCGTGGCTTTTCGATCGAGCTGTCAGACATCGATGATCCGAACTCAAATGAGCAGAGTTCGGAAGGGTAGGTGCCTGTTAGCCGACGGAGGAGTAGCAATGAGTTCCACCGGTCAGCGTGTCGCTTGTTCTGACGTCTTCAGAGGAACTCGGAAAGAAGGAAAACCTTCCTGGAGCTCCCCGGAGTTCGCCGTGAAAACAGCGCCCGTAACTCTGGTTGTTCTGCGACGGTCAATAAGTCGCAACCGTCAGCGTCGTTAGTGTTTCGGAGCATTGAGCACATCGGTGAATGCGAATTTCCACGAGTGGTACTCCGCGGCTGTTCGAGTGGCTGAACGAGTCGGACAGCAACAGCAGCCGAAGCTGCGAGCGGGGGAAGTCGACAGCCTCCATTGCGTGGCTTCGATCTGCAGGAAGACAAAAATCGCCCACCAGACACCAATTGCGAGTATAGATACGACGCTGATTGACTTTCGTGGCGGTTCCCGCTCGGTCACCCAGCCCCGAACACTCCGACAGAGAGGATTGTTTCGTTAACCACACCACGTTTTGGCGAACCGCTCCGAGTATTCTGCTCCCAGATATTCCGGCTTTCGCGAGGTTTATTTTCAACGAAAACATCCATGACGTCTGCCACGGATCTCCGTCCGATGAATTGACGGTAAATCGACCCGGCGCTCGAGGCAGCGATATTTCCTGGGGCTAATAGCTGCTCCATCTTTCCTGGGCTGACGGTTTCCCGTCACTCAAATCAAACGAAGCCTCAGTCGACACATAAGCGTACGTGATCGCCGCGACGAAGGTGGCGTTGGTCGAATGCTCGAGCCACGGGGGAGCAAAAAATTAAAATCTGAACGTCGTCTTAGCGCAACGAGCCAATCGCGTATTAGTTGGTTGGTTAAGTGAACAGGCAGTTTTTAAGTATGTACTTCCTGTAGGACCATTGGGCCGCCTACACGGGCACCACGAACTCCATTACGGGCGGCGAACATGATTCAGGCCCAGAGAGCGAAACGGGTAAGTAATTCTGTTTTTAGAGCTAAATTGCTCAATGACCGGGAAAGTGCGAATGGACTTTCACTCGGTGAGCAGCCGCGGCCCGAGCTCTCCGTCTTCGTTCCCGAGGAAATTGAGGGCAGAGAGCGAACTCCGCTTGGATATCGTCGCGGAGGAGCTCAGCTCCAGAGCAACTCACCGGTGCTTTCAATCGCAGTTTGTCGTGGTTGACCGAGCTCAGACCGCGGAATCTAACCGCCCGAGACTACCGATTCGAAAACGAAAACAATAGAGAGTCTGATCTTCGGCTCATGAGTTATCGGCGGCTCCCGAGATCTCCTCAATTCTCTCGATCTCGCCGGCTCGCGTCATCCACGAGCTGGGGCTCCGGTTTGAGCCCCCGCCTGTATGGAAATTTGGTTGAATGCAATGGAAATATGAAAAACTCTCAATCGGGAAACAAACTTCTTGGTTTCGAATCAGATTCAAGAGAATCGCCCAAACTCTCATGGGGAAAAAATTTCAAACGACGCTCCCATTACGGGTTGTCTCAAGCTCCACTGAGAAGCGCTATTTATTCCCCGACGACACGAGTTCAATAGAATCGTAAGGCCGATAATGGCAAGCTGAACAATCCGATTCCCAGTAAGACGTCGGAATTCGTGGGCCGAGGAAACGCACGGAAACCTGACGGGGAGACTAATCCTGGAATCAATGGCTCGGAATGCGATCTGCTTACGCACAAGCTACAGCGATTTCGACTCGCGCAACCGTCTCCCTACTACGCGAGGCTCCACGGCCCCGTGCGTCGTTTCTTTCCTCTCATTCCCGATTGTCGTTTTGCAGCTCCCGATCGAAGATTTGCTCATTGAAATATACTGCGA